ATAGTGGTAGAAGGAAGTAAAGGCTCTACAGGAAAGAGTTTGTCAAAAGCTAAGCCTCTCCTCTGTTGTGTGAAGTGGTTTGCTAGTTAGGGCTAGTGCTGAGACAGTGCATTCAAAAAAACATAGTGAGGTCTCATTAAAACGCAAGGTAATATGATCAAATTCACACATGAAGCTGCTGAAAAATAAGAGTAATCAAAAGATACCTTCAGTTTTCAGTCTCAAGGATCAAAAATAGGCTCTCAGTGCTAACTACACTTAAATGAATGCCTGAAAACCAGAAATATCTCTATAAAACACCACATTACTGACATCTCACATTAAAGCGCTTTAGTTTTCTTTATAACACTCCAGTGACACATACAGTATCAGTATTAGTATTCCCATTTTTGCATGAGGAAAATGAAGATTAAAGGAAGTTACAAGTGCCTTCCCAGTTCCAGTATTCTTTAATGATATCCTTTAATTCCATTCTGGGTCTGAAAAGCAAGGAATTTTAGAACTTCAGAACCTGAAACCTAATTCATCTTCTCATTATGGATATACTTAGGGCCTCATCAGAAAGGTTCTTACCTAGGATCCATGGCTCTGGATCCAGTGGGATGAAACAGTTAATGCAACAGAACATAGATCTTCACAGGGGAGGATATTTAAAACTAAGACTGAATGACAAAAATAATACTTAATACAGTCCTATACATCCATAATTCAGTTGAATTCAATCTACCACCTCCAAAAACCAGTCACATACAATCAGATGATACCATCTATTGCTTCTCTCTAAGCTCCCATAGGTTTAACGATCACCTCTGGGCAGGTAACTCACAGACACGCACATATCTCACCCTAGCACCTCGATGAGCTTTAGTCACCAATTACCTACTGGACATTTCAAACTGGAACCTGAAATCTCAAACTAAACACGTCCAAAACAAAGCCCATTATCTTTCCTTTCAAAACTTCCCTCTTCCAAACATTCCTATTTTTGTGGAGGGCACTACGTTTTAACTCCCAAAGTTTAAATCTCAGCATTAATCTTGACTCTTCACTCTTTTCATAGCCCCTGTATCAAAAGCAGTTACCAGATGTTGTTTTTACCTATCAGATGTCTTTTCTCTTCTGACACAGCCTTAGTTTGGGCCCTCATCACCTTCCATTTAGATCACTGGAACCACCTCCTAAATGGCCTCCCAGTCTCTCAAGTCCCTCTCCACTCCAGTCCACCCTACAGACTTCAGTCAAAGTAATTAATCTTCCTTAAGCATAGATCAGATCACATAATGCCTCCACTCAATAAACCCCAGTGGCTCCCTGTTACTTCTAGGGCAAAATAGAAATACTTTTGTTTAGCTTTTAAAGCCCTCTGCCACCTGGCACCTACCTGTCTTTCTAGCCTCACTGAACATTACTCTTTGGATCCAGTCAAACACAGACCTTCTCTACATTCTTCACTCATGACACTCCATGTCTTCTTCCTTAGTGCCTTTATACTGCCTGGAAAAATCTCCCCCCCCCCCCCAGTCCTTGAGCCAACCTCAGAAAGTCTCCTGTTTTCTTTAAGATGTAAGTCTTCTACTGAAAACTTTCCTGATTCCCCCAACAGCTTAGTGCCCCCCATCCCACACTATCTTGTGTTAAACTACTTTGTAGATATTTCTATTTATTCACTTTATATCTCTCTCTCTCATACACACACACACACACACACATACACACTTCTTGCACCCTCATCCTGCCCCTTAGAATGTATGCTGTTTGTGAATAAAGATTGTTTCCTTTTTTGTATATTTTCTTAGCACAATATCTATCACAACAATAGGAGCTTGAGGAATAATTTTTGGTTGCCTTAAAAAAAAACCTCATCAATTTCTGAGACAACTTCAGACTGAAAATTTTGTATTATCTATGAATTCAGACAATCATTTTAACAAAGAATGCTGTATTTATAAGAAGCTACTAAATCTAATACATTCAGGGCAGCTAGGTGGCGCAGTGGATAGAGCACCAGCCCTGGATTCTGGAGGACCTGAGTTCATATCGACCTCAGACACATAACACTTACTAGCTGAGGAACCCTGGGCAAGTCACTTAACCCCATTGCCTAGCAAAGAAAAAAAAATCTACTACATTTAAGAATCTACTAAATGTGATTATTGTTTAAATAAACTGTCTAAAAGGTGTTCAAGGCCATCACCTTCTGCTTGTAATTAACTAGAGATAAATGTTAATAAGTTTTTAATAATAGCACTCCAGGTTTGCAAAAGGTCCTTCTTAATAACATTGGGAGGTGGGTGGTGTAGGTATTATTATCATCTCTATTTTGAGGTTAAATAACTGGCCCAAAGTCACACAGCTAGTACTTGTTTGTCAGAATTCCTATAAGAGTCTCCTGTCCAGCTTCTCTATGCCATGTTGTCTTACAAGTATTTGTCCGCAGAGTGCCATTATGAAGGAACACACAACATAATACACATTATGATCTGTTCTTAAAACAAGTGCTACTTACTAAGAAAAATCATTTTCAGAGGCTAGTAGACAGCATTTATTCACTGAGTACAGTTCTTGGATAAAAGGAAAATCCTTAACAGCAAAAGTTATGAAGTGGTAACTCAATACGAGGCCCTATGACAGGATACAAATGGCTTTTGCCCACAAAATGCTTACAATTTAACTAGGAAGACGAAACACAAACTGTGAAGACAAAGCAGTTACATGATTGGTGTCAATGATCACAGTAGGACAGATGATAGTGACAGTAACACAAAGGAGGGAGGGAAAGATCACTGTGGGTTGGATGGTGAGGGAGAGCTTCAAAGGGGATAGGAAGTGAGCTGAGTTTTGTAGGAGAGTAGGATGCAGAGAAGCAGAAATGAGGAAAGGGGAATATGGGCAAAGACTGATGTGGGGAATAGGAAAGGCATAATGGGGGGAGAAGAAGAGTATTTCAGGATGGCTGGAGGTGCACTGATTGAGATAAGTGGTGGAAACTAAGATTGGAAAGATAAGATCCTGGCCAGATTACATTTAAGTCTTGCAGGCTAAAAATTTTGAATATTATCACGTCAGCAAATTTTCTGATGAAATAGGTGGTTTATGAAGATTATTCTGGCTTTAGAGTACAACTGGAATGTAAGGGAGAAAAACCAGGTAGGAGAATGATTGAGCAATTCATCAACTTACTAGGTGCCTAACAGGTGCTATGCACAGTGCTGTTTTGATATAGGTGTGAGGTGATAAGAACTTGAATGAGGGTGAAAAAAAATGCCAAATTTGGTCAAGAACTCCTCATTTTATAAATTATGAAGTACTTTTAAACATTAACAAAACCAATTAAACTTATATTACAACTAGTGACACTTAAATACTGACACTTTCCTTCCTTAAAATTACTAAATCATTAAAAACAAACAACAAAAAAAAACTCCCAAAAAACCTTTCTGTGTTTTTTTCTTGTTTTATTTCTTCCTGGAAGAATAAATAAATAAATAAAACCCTACATCAATAAAGTTCACCAATATATACTGCTTACCCAAAGGATATGGCTATAAATTATCTTTGTACATTGGGCTATAAATGTAACTACAAATTACCTTTCACACTAGGGATTCTAACCTTACCTATAAAATGTTCCATTGTCATTACTGAATCATGGTGGGAATCACATTCTACACAAAGTTTAAAACTGACATCTACTCTAAAAAGAAGCATCAAGGAACCTTCCCTGACAACTGATACAGAACAAAGCCATTAGTATGTTAGTACATTATTATGAACATTAGTATGTTCAAAAAGTAGAAAACCTAGTTAAGGAAAAGATTCTAGTAGTGTTTCCTTATGTTGTACATTCTGTCACCCTGAAACTCTACAACCACATGGACAATATCCCAAAGGCCTCCACTCAGGACTGTCCTCTAGCTTCTCAGGAATCTCAAAACTGTGACAAACACGTCATATCCCACCAAGATTCAAAAGCCGAGCTTCCTAGTGAGTTTTCTGCGGTGCTGTAATAAGTAAATTTAAGTAACCTACTTTCAAATTACTTCATATTGTCCTACTCCTGACAAGCCTCCTTGCCTCAACATCAGGTCTACTAACACCGTTAGGTTCTGAAATTGTTCTACAGGTCATACAGTATAGGAGTTACTTATGTTGTGGGCAATCTTTAGATTAGTACACCGAAATATTTAAAAGAAAACTGTTCACAGAACCGCTCAGTGACAAGTCTACTTAAGGGTTTCTCTGTGGAAAAACATTCTCAAATGTAGATTTGGCTTGGAGGTAAAAACAGTCCTCAGTCAAAGGCCTTCGGTTCCAGTCCTCACTACCTCGATGTCTGACTCTGGGCATGGACATCGTTTCTGGGACTGTTTCTTCATCCATAAAACGGGGTCATTTGCACTGCCCCATTGGGGTTGTTGTAAAGACAGTAAGTACTCTTACAAGTCTTTAAGGAGCTGATACCAACGTGAGCCATTAACTCATAAAAAACAGGCATGGAATAACACACTAATCAATATCCTGCCCTATGCCGGGGAATGAAAAAGTCAAGACCACCTTCCACGAAATACACGCTTGGTTAGACATCGCGACCTGGGCTGTGAGGACTGCCTGGGGAGCCAAGCACTTGCACAATGCGTTTGGGGCAGCGCTTCCCCTGCGTCGGAGCCGAACCCCCCCGGGGGTCCGGCTTGCCCCCAGCCCCGCGGGCCTTCACCCCCACAGACTACGGCAGGGGAAGCCTCCCACTTCTCAAATCGGAGTCCGTTTCGTCACTTTCCCTGAGCCCCGGCGGCTCGCCCCGGCCCTGCACCCGCCCCGCGCACTGCGCTCGCCCCAGGACGCACAAAGCGGCGGCGTCTTCCCCCGCAGCTTTCTGCGAACTGGGACCCAAAGGCGGGCAGGGCCGGCCGAAAAGCGGCGAGGAATGAATGCCGCCGGGAGGTGCTCCGCAGCGAAGCCGGGTCCACCCTCCCGCTGCGCCCCGAGGCTCGCTCACTCACCGCGATGAGGGCGCTGCTGGAGCGGCTCTGCTCTGCGGCGCTGCTCTCCGAGCCCTCGACGGCGGCCGCCGGGGCCGGGGCCGGAGCGGGCGGCGCGGCGGCCGGTGCCGGGGCGGGCGGCGCGGGCTGCCGATGCTTGCCGGCGCGCTTGGCCTTGGCCTGTAGGCAGCGCTGGTGCAGGGCGAACGTGTGCTGCCGCTCCAACTCCAGGCGCTCGGGCGACACGGCCTCGTAACGGGCCTCGCAGGTGCTGTGGTGCCGCCGGCACAGCTCGATGCGGCGGCGGAGGCGCTCCATGACCGCGCTGTGCCGCGGAATCGCGAACTCCGCCATGGGGCAGGGGGGTGGCAGCAGCACCATGGGCCGCCGCGGGCGCCGGGCCGCGCCGCCTCCTCCGCTGTCCCACCCGAGCGGCCCGAGCCGGGCCCGGGCCCCTGTGGTTGCTTCCTTCCCCCTCCCTTTCCCGGAGGCGGCGGCGGCGGCGGCAGGGGCAGCTGTCCTCACAGTGGGGCCATAACCCCGAGGCCGGCGCCGCGCACAGAGGACGAAGCGGCGGCCCAGCAGGTCCGGGCGCTGAGCGTCTCCTCGGCGGAGGCCCCGATCCCCCGCCTCAGGGCCTGGCCAACCCCCGCGGCCCAATTTCCATTGTTTTCCGCACCGCCTCCGCCACCGCCATCTTGAAATTGTTCGGGACGCTTTTGGGAGGGGGCGGACCCTCCGCCGGCGGCAACGGAACCTACGTTCGACGTCATGGTTTGATAGACAGGACCTTTGACCAACCCTAGAGGAGCAGGAGAGCTACGCACCTGGAACTATGTGTACGGGGCGGTACTTAGGCTCGGAAAAACAGCGTTTAAAAGGAACTGGAGGGAAGCAAAAAGAAGGCAACCAATGAAAAGGCGAAGGTCTGGGACGGAAATAGCGTTTAAAAGGAACTGAAAAGAAAGGAAGCCAGCCAATGAGAAGGCGAAGGATTGGGACGGAAATAGTATTTAAAAGGAACTGAGAAGAAAAAGAAAAGGAAAGCAACCAATGAGAAGGCGAGAGTCTGGGACTGGGGAAGGGTTGAGACGGAAGGGGGCTGGATGAGTTAGAAAATGATTGACATGGTTAGCAGCCAGCGAGGGCAGCCTTTTTCCTTATCAGAAGGTATCCAAAGGCATCCCTAACTTGCCTGTCTCTGGCCCTTATTTAGGTAGAGTCGTTTTGGTGGGATATAGAACCCGAACGCGCATGCAAAAGCCAGCCTTTTACGGCCTCCCACCCTGGCGTAAGTTAATGCCAGTTTCCAAGGACCCGCTAGGCCCAGGTTAGCTGTTTGAATGCGGTGTACGGTTCACTTCCAGCCAGGATGTTTTCTTTCTGCGCTTTTGCTAGGACTGGAGAACACCATTGTTACGTATCAAACAGTCTCAAGCAAGAATAAATATATCAACAGTATGTCTGGTATTGCTGGGGGCAAACCCAGGAAAAAGGACAAAAAAAAGCCCATTTAATTTCTCTAGAAACCATTATTTTTTCTAATCAAGTGACAATATACTAAGTCTATAAATGCTTAACTTCAGTCATCAAATTGCAAATGCTGGTAGGTTTGCACTTCTTTATTAGATGAATAGGCAGTGGAGACTCTTCTGCCTTTCAAAACCCCAAACCAGGTACAGAAAGGGGTGATTGTAGAGAAGCCTACACCCCCTTCACCTATAGGAGCAGAAGAAAACAGCTGCTGCTTCTATGCGTAAAAGGAATGTCAAATTATTATAGCTCAGGGGTGTAAGATTACCTCACAAACTGTGAGACAGATAATTTATTCCTGTGTAACTAAAAACTTGTTTCTCTGCCTCTTAAGAATGGTGCCTCTCTTGGGTCATTAGGCACGCCCCATTGCTCAGGTCTGGTGCCGATTCGCAATAAAAAGGGAAAAGCTGAATAGATTTTAATTTCCTTTATTAGAGTAAACTGTTACATTATAACTTATCCAATATATTTATATATGCATATTGCATCTATAATTATCCTTCCACAACAGACACGGGAGTGGTTGCTGAGAGAACAGTTCCTGTTTAGCAATACAAGGAAACTGCTCTCATGGACTTATGGAGGGATTACTGGCTTGAGAAACTGTATGGGCCCAAATCAAGTAAAATAAAATAAAGTCACTGGCTAGGAGCACCCTATTTACTGCCCTAAGTGGAGGCATAAGAAAGAACTTATGTTGTATGACCACTACCTTTATCAATAACACCAACCCTGTTCTCCAACCTTTCTTCCTAAGGTCACCATACATCTCAGGGCAGATTTCCCATTTGTTGGAAATGTTCTCTATTTCCTCCATTTTAAAGATAAAACCAAATATGAGCCAGTAATGAGCATCAATTTTGCTGCATCTATATGCACCCCCCCCTTTAGTATGGCAACATAAAAAACCCCTCTATTCATAGAAAAGCTTCCTTTTGGCATAGTTTTAATAAGCACTCCTAGTATCAGAAATTAAAACTGGAGTCTATTATCTGGTTTGGAGTAGCAATGGTTACTTTTTGAGAAAAATCATCATTGGCCCCCCCAAATCCTTAACCACCTAACAAACAAATTAACAGCTGAAAATACTTTGAATCTATGATCTAACCAACAATACCAAACAAGCATGTTTATCTTTATTTTGCTGTTCAGGCTCCCAGCTTCCTTTCCTGAACCCAAATTCTAATTATATAAAAATCAAAATTTTCCTAAGACAGTTCCTAATACTTTCTGTTGAGTCAAGATCTATATTAACTTTCCCACAATGTGTTGGAAGTAAAGGGGAAGACTGACTTTAAACACCCTTTCCCTCTCAAAAATCAAAGTAGTGCACACTGAAAGAGAAAACATGCACAATGAAGGTAAAGAAGCTTAGTCAAAAGCAGAAGAGATTAACATGTAGCTTTAATGCAACACCATTTAGTAGCTTGACATATGGAAAAGAATAGCACTTTTTCTGTGAATGGGAGAAACTAAGGAGCACGTGTTGGAGGACAGGAATTTGCACATTAATGAACCAGACAACTGGAGTGTAAAATAACTAAACATTGTTGCCTCTTGTTGAGCTGCTGTGCAAAGCGCTGCTGGTCATCCATGACAAAGCTGTCAGATACTGAAGTAGGAGGCCTCACCTTACACTAGGGAGGAGAGAGTGAACCAGGAAGAGCCACTGTTCATAAAAACACTTGTGTTAAGCAATATGGAGTCTATATGACAAGTTCTGAAAACTTCCTGGTCATGTAGGGTGCATGAAGATGCCTATTTTAAAGAATCAAAATAATGCAGGGTCAGCTTAAGTTTCCATAGCCCAGGCAGAAGAAAATCACCAAATCTCAACGAGAGGCACATAATATGTTCTGAAGGTACAGTTGGAAGCGCAATGGTCCCATACTTTTGCTTCAAGTAGATACCTGTAAACATGCTTTCAGGCCCTTACTAAACAAAGGTTTATTTATACTGGACTTCATTGCTACATTTATGGCCACTTTGACCTAGCAAGGTAACATGAAAGGAGATAGCATTGAACAGGCAGAAAAAATATTGTCTACTCCTCCACCTGTTGCCTCTCAACCTTTAAAGAAACGTGCCAGTCATGGAGTAGTTTACAAAATAAACTGACACCACAATTCCTTTTGAGCATTCTAATATCACCTCCTGCTGTTCCCAATAAGAACACTGTGGAGTGTTTACATATTCAGTGCAAGGACAGTGAATCAGTACGTTTCAAGCTATTCTAAACAAATAGAGCTAAAATATCAACATTCAGCTCCCAATATATTTCAGTAGAATGTAATGTCATTACAAAGCATTAACTCTTTGAAGTAAATGCTCAGATAACCCTCACCTGCATTTTAATTCCCCCTCCTCCCCCCCAAGAAAAGACCTAAAACCAGCAATACACTATGCCACTTAGCAACTTTTTGTTTGAATTGGAATCCCCTACATTCAAGTGTACTTTAAGATGCAATTGTTAAATGAAGAGCAAATAAAGATTTGAAAAATTTCAACAGTTATGTATACCGGGTAGCTCGTTCTACAAGCCCCAGACAACTCCACTGTCAAGCCCAATACTTTGAACAATTGCATTCGGTTTGAATCAAATCTGAATCAGCTTGTCTGTTCTGACCACTATAATCTCTAAAGACATAAATGGAATAATGGGGGACTATGCTCTATGCTGTATTTGGACACTGAAGACATTTGGGTAAAACCACTCAAGTTTAACACTGACTGTGCTGAGCATATAATCATTTCCAGCAATGGAGGGCAAGCTGCACTCTGAAGAAACTGCATAGCAGCAGGGAAAAGCCTGGGATGGGGAAAACAATATCAACAGAGTGGAAGGAGAAATTGTTAAGACCCCATACATACACACTCGCACACCCCGACAGCCCCAATGAGTAGTGCTCAAAGTCTAGAGAAACCACGTAAGGTTAGAGCCCAGACAACCAGCCTGGGAAGCCTGAATGCCTAAGTACCAATGGTAAGTTTCCCCACATATTTATTCTCAGTGCCAACTATGGAATACTGGGAACTTAGCAGTAACCAAAGGCAACACAACACATACATATGGTGGCCTAATCGTGCTCCTTCCAACAGAGTGGAAAAAGAAGGGCCTTTTTTGTAGCTCTGTTTTTAATATAGCTTAATCAAACAGTATCTATTATGGTCTGGAATTCTCCCCCAATCTCAAATCTCCAGAAGAGGTAGAATGAAAGAGTGGGAGAGAGTAATCAATGTTATCCACACAAATAACTTCACTTTAAACATGATTATCAATTTTAAGGGACATAGACACTTCAATGTTTTGGAATATCGAAGTTTATAAAAAAAAAACTACGTTATAAAAACTGCAATTCATCACCTAGCATTTTCTAAACTTTGCTGTTATTTTTCCATGGATAGATTAATACATTAAATTAAGCCAAGGTTCTTGAAGACTGGCAATACTCTAACATTCTATTTTTTTAAAAGTGTTTTAAAACCAAAAAAACCAAAACCAAAAACCAACAACAACAACAAAAAAAAACCCAACAGGTTAGTTGCTTCATGTTACATCCAGAATCCATAGCCCATACATTAAATGCTTTCTTTCTACAGGAATGGTGTTCTTTTTATCACAACTGCAATTAATTACTGCTAGATGCTCAAATTTTCATTGGATAGTATTTGACTGGAATCTGTTGATAGTGAAGTCTTGAGGTTTTTCTGGGTTTCAACATATAAGGTGTGTCCCAGGTCCTCTCCTAGGATCACATCGAGGATAGGGGGAAAAGGGAATCACAGATCAAGTTCTTAAATTCTTTCAATCTCTTCGTGGCTTTCTGTTTCTCGGTGATCTGTTCAAAACTTCATCTTCCTGTTGGTTGAAAAGAATTTCGTAAGAAATCCATCATATCATCAACAAATAGTTACTGAAATGCTTGCTAGAGTGCTCATGTGGCTAAGACATAGTTGCTACCCTTAAGAGTCATACAATCTAGTTAAGAAGACAGGCCATATAATAATCTGAATACAAGACACACTTTCCTCAAAAGTCTGATTTTAACAAAAGCTGAAAGGCGAGTGATTGTGACCTGAAAGACTTCTGTCTGTCAATGGCCTATTTCTATGATGAATACTCGTATGTATTTATGGGTGCTTTACATTGGGACTAATACTAGTAGTAGTCCACTGGGTCCATGCTTGCACAAAACCTTTCCAGATTGCTAGATCCTATGCCAGATTGCACTCTCCATCATATAGGATTTTGGCGGACATCTGTGACCAATGAAGTATGAAAAGAAAAAGGCAATACAAGGGCTTCACATGCCAAATGCCAGACAATGAAAAACTAGAAGTTTAAAGGAAAAAAACCACTGATCAGTGAGGGTTTCATGGAAAAGATGAGAGTTCAGCTGGGTTTTGACATAAGGGTAGGATTTGGACAAGTTCAAGGAGAGGTATCAGCATAAACAAAGGTATGAAGGCAGGAGCGCCTACGGGACACCGGGACAATGAAATGTCTGTATGACTGGATTTACAGGACTGGATTTATCTGTGTAAGGCTGCAGTGATAATGACATCGGCCAGAATTTCAGACAAAGGAGTTTAGATGGAAAGGAATGAAATTTTTAAGTTTAGATCAGGGCAACTGTTTAAAATCTTAAGAAAACTGAAGAATTCATCTTTCATACCATTTATTGTGAAAACTAATTTTGGTATTCGTACTGTAGCTGCGCAATCTCAAAACAAATAAAACACGATCCCTTCCGTGACCAGCCTAGTATATGTATAACCTGCAGAATTCAAGTCTCTAAGTGCAACTTATGATACAACTGTAATTGTTTTAATATGAATTTAAAGAAATGAAAACTCTTGTCATACCTCCAAACTGGCCTTTCCTTACCTCTGCTTTAGGTTTTCTATCTTCATCCTCTTGACTAACAGTACCTGCATCCTCTTCAGCATCACTTTTTTGCTTCTCTTCTACGAGAGAAGTTAAAGAAATTAAGAAAACCTTCTAAATAAAACAAAATTCAATAAACATTACACCAGTGCTTTGCTATAAGACTCTGCCCTGTGCCAGGTGTTTGGAAGTTAAAATCAGACACAGTTCCTGCCCACATGGAGCTTACATTTCCAGAGGGTTGAGATAAGACAAATACAATGACATTACATGGCAAATGCATCAGAGAGATTGTAGAATAAAGGGAGGTGGGGTGAAGAGAAGTCAGAGATGGTGGCATTTGAGTTTTAAGACTCAAAGGACAAATATTCAACAGGGAGGGAGAACATAAAATCATGGAGGTGAGCAATAAGATGAGGACAAAAAGGGAGAGTGGTAACCAGATTATACAAGACCAGAAATGCTACTTAGTATACAACAGGAAACCATGGAAGACTGTTGAGCAGGAGGGAGATTTATTCATAAAGAAAATTAATTTAGCAGGAAGACTTCAGAAAAACCTGGAAAGACTTGTATGGATTGATGCTAAGTGAAGTGAGCAGAACCAGGAGAACATTGTACACATTAACAGCCATATTGTGTGATGACAACTTTGATAGACTTAGCCCTTCTCAGCAATGCAAAGTTCCAAGACACCTCCAAAAGTCTCATGATGGAAAATGCTACCCACATCCAAAAAAAGAACTATAGAGTTTAAATGCAGATCAAAACATACTATTTGCTCTTTTTTTTCCCCCTTCAGTTTTGTTTTGTTTCCTCTTTCTTCCTCCTATGGGTTCTAATTCTTCCTTACAACATGACTAATGTGAAAATATGTTTAACAGGAATGTATGTGTAAAGCCTATATCAGACTGCGTCTTGGGGAGGGAGAGAAAAATTTAAAACTCAAAAGCGATGGAAGCGATTGCAGATAAATCAAAATAAAAGGAAATTCATCTAGCAGCAATTTCAAGGACAGAAAAGAAAGCCTAAGAAGTTTACTGCAATAGTTCAGGCAGGTAATAATGAGAGCCTGTATTAAGGGGGTTACATTTGGAATACAGGGTACAGCAGAGATCTATTATGGAAGTATAATTGATAGAATTGGATGAGTAAGAGATAAAAAATTCAAATGTTTGATGCCATAAGAAATGATTCCAGAAACACCTGAGAAGATTTATAGGAACTGATGCAAAATGAAATAAGCAGAACCAGGAGAACACTGTACACAGTAACAGCAATTTGGTACAATTATGAACTGTGGATAATGACAACCATTCTGATCAAGTACAATGATCCACAATTCCAAAGGACTTGAGAAATGAACTACAGTGTAGACTTGAAGCATACTTTACACTTTCTGTGTGTGTATATGTGTGTGTGTGTTTTCTTTTGCAGCATGGCTAATATGGAAATGTTTGCATGACCTCACATGTATAATCAATATATTGCTTGCCTTTTCAAGGAGAAGGGAGGGGTGAGAAAGAGAATTTGGGAATCAAATTCTATAAAAATGAGTATTAAAATAACAAAACAAAAACATATTTAAAAATTTGTAAAGGCTTGATTAATGCCACAGACTAATAGCAAAAGCAGGAACAGGTTTGGAGGGAAAGAGTAAGTTTGGTTTTAGACATGCTGAAGGGAAATCCATAGGGAGTTATGAGCAAAAGCTTTTGGCAAAATCAAATCATTTGGCATTTATCTGTCTTTGAATCCTGAGTTTAAACAGATACTATTTGGTGCTACAGATTTGAAATACTTAATGAGTCCTCACCAATTTTCTCTTCAGTTTCTTCTTCTTCAACTCTCTTCTCCTTTTCCTCCTCTTTCTCCTCCTCCTCCTCCTCCTCCTTCACATCTGGTTGAGGAGCATCAGTCTTCTTATACTCTGCAGCACTGGGCTGTTTCTGAAACAGTAAAATCCTCACAAACTTGGCTGAAGGTTTACACATTTCCAGTGCATTACTAGGACAAAATAATTTAAATTAGGAAGGTACTTGTGAATTGGTGAGCCAGACCATACAGCCCTTTTGGCTTTGTTATTTCTTGTAAGTTGTTCATGAGAACCCTGCTTTTATCTTTAAGTAAGTCACCAAACTTAATGTCTTCCCAAATAATTTTCTCCAAAGAAAGCCCCATACCTTTCCAGAACAGCAGAACAGGATCACAAGGAACAATGGCAAGGCCACAGTAAGGATATAGACCACCCAAAGCCATGGACGCTCCTCAGCTGCTTCAAGCATTTGCCCCATGACACCAGGCTGAAATACAAGTAGAACCGCATTCGATTTAAATTTTGGCTATAACCATACTCTACAACCTAGCTAATATGGTTTTCACTAGCCTTTTCCCCCCTCTTCTTGGGATTAAACTGTCCTCACCTCTATCTCAAAGCATTCCTTAGGTCTTTCAAGACTCAGCTCAAGCACCGCCTTCTATATAAACCCTTTTCTGATCCCCAACTGCATGTGCCATCCACCCTTCCCCAAACTACCATGTATATTTCCTTTATTTTTTTTTAAATGTTTTTTGTTTCTCAAAAGAATCTCCCTGAGGGCAGGGCTTTATATCCTAGGCACTAAGCATACTGCACAGCACATAGGTTCTTAACATGCTTGCTGATTGAGAAGTTCACCCAATTCTCCTGCTCTAATTTGACAATGTCTACACTCTTTATAAAAAGTCTCTATTAAAAGAAGCCAGTGTGCAACTTAAGCTTCTGACTTTTCAAAGTGTAATTCACAAAGATGGGACAATCAAAAAGCAATCTATTATATCAATTTGGTTAATGGAAGTTCTAAAATTAAGCCTTAAGTTCTAGAAGATCTAGTTCAATTTTCTTTCATTTCCCTTCTCTTTTGGAACCTGCGCTTTTCTGCACGTGACAGTGAGACTCAAATTTTCTAGTCCCTCTGAATAATTTGGTGAGTGAACCAAACAACATTTCCATGAATCCTTGTGTTTCCTCAGAAGCACATTCACCAACCTCTGCAGCCCCATCAGCAGCTTTCTTCAGACCCCACCCATCATTGGCCCAATCATCTGCAACTCCTCGGTCTGCACAAATAATAAAGTTGTCGAAAAAGATGTCTGATGTCATAGACCACAGCTCCAGACCCACAGCACTGAAAGGAGTCATTTTAAAAGGCTCTAGATCTTCAAAGAAATCTGGATTTGGAATCTTCCTGGGTTTCCAGATTCCCTATAAAGAAAATAGCAAGGAAATTAAAGCAAGATCCTCTCTTTATACTCATTATAAAAATAACCAAGGCACATGTATATAACTGCAAACCATCTCTCATCATGAAAACAAAAATTTTAACTATTTCTAAAAAAGAAGCAAACAGATTTATGAAGAATTTCTGGAGGGAAACTGCATTTCAGATCACTAAAACAGAAACCATTTGGTTAGGAGGTAATGGATTTCAGTCTATTTTTTTTTTCTACCCAATTAGATTCAAATCACTTGAAATATACCTTAGAAAAAGTTAAAGAACAGAAAAACTTAACATTCAACACCTACATAATTGCCCATCTCTCAAAGGGAAATACTTTCATTCTGCAGTTTGAATGATAAAAAGTTATACTGTAAGTCTGCCCCAAAGTAGAAGTCAAGGTATTACTCTTAATTTCAGACCCTATCCATTAAATCATAATATCCCTTAAAAGCTGCTCAAAAGCTATGCATCTCTTTAATCTATTACCTGATAATATTAAGTTCAGTTGTTTTAACAGAAGTTAATTTTTAAATAATTTAAAGCAACTTTATACACAGTCTCATTTGATCCTCAATTGACCCTATGATGTATCCTGGGGTAGATTCCTCCCTAATTTTTAAGGAGAAAAGAAAAACAAAGGCTAGGAGGTCATATGACTTGTCCATGAATACATGACTCACTGGAACAAGAGCCTAGATCTCCAGATTCCTTGCCCAGAGCTTAGCTACAGGACTGAGGCACCACTGCCACCTGGTGGTAGCATTGCTAAACCAGAGGTTCTGGTTTCAAAGGTGAAAAAAGGACAAATCTGTCAACTGTAAATTATAAAGTGACATCATTTATAGTCTCCATTATCTAAGTTGATAACAATTAGAACCACTCAACTATCTCTGCATTAATATAAAATTCTGTTTCAATTTGAACTTTGAATACTTTCAGAATCAATGAAAGAAATGAGGCAGCCAGCTACCTTCTCAACAAAATGACCATCCTCAAAGTCCCCAAAGAGTCAACAGATCAAACCAACATCAGACACGAACCTGGTAGTTAGGATTGTCAATCATAGGTGCTTTCCATTTGCCCTTGTAATTGGGATTGTCAATGGTAGGTCTTTGCCAGACACCACAACCAGGGGCTGACTCACATTTTGGGTTCGCAATTTGGGGAGCTTCCCACTCTCCATCCATATCTTCATCCCTAGAGATAAAATTTTAGGATTTTAAATATATTCCGCTACAAATAGAATATTCATTGCTTTTCCCTAAGATACTGTTTAAAAAACAACCCAGCTTTATAGTGCTGTATTATTTAGTTTAAAAATATTCTGATGACAGATCATAAAAAAAATCTAAGAATTCTTTAACAAAAAAAAAAAAAAAAAAAAAAGAAAAAAGGAGGAGGAGGAGGAGGAAGAGGAAGGGGTAGGAGATGGGGTGAGAGGTTTAGACCTACCAGTCCTCTGGCTTCTCTGCATCTGGGTCAGATACATATTCAGGCTCATCATCCAACCAGCCTTCAGGTTTTGTAGCATCCTCATCTGGAATCTTAGCAGGAGCAGACTCATCCCTTATGAGACAAGGGGAAACAGATAACAAGGTTACTTAATAATGATTAGCACCATATTCTACCAAACCTACTGGTACCTTTTATATAAGGTTTGCAAAGCATTTTCTTCACAACCCCCTAAATAAGGCAGTACAAGTATTATTATCTTCATTTTAAAGATGAGGAAGCTGACTAAGGCACTGAGAGTCAAGTGACTGGCCCACAATTATATTAAGTTATTGAGGGCAGGATTTGAATCCAGCTTTCTTGATTCTAAATTCAGCATTCCCTCCAGGACACCAAGTAGCTTTTTAGCTCTACTCAGGCTCATGGAAAGAGTATGATAGGAGAGAACCAGGTGTTCTGTGTGAGCTATTCTGCTCTGGCCCCTCCTGGCTTACTCAAAAGCACTCCTACTCAAATTTTCTTAAGAACGCTTTATCCTGACACCCCCCCCCAATACATTTGTATTATATTTATTTGTGTACAGAGACACCACCTTAGTTTTTAGGCCTTCACCTCATCTTGTTTGGTCTATTTCTACAGTATCCTTACTGGTCTCCCTGATTCAAATCTCTTCTTAATCCAATCCTTCACACAGCTCCCAAAGCAACTTTCCCAAAATATGCATCTGACCATATCACTAACTCAAAAATTCCACTGACTCCCTATGGCTTCTGTTTGGCTTCTTAAAGCCCTTCACAATCTGGCCTCAATTTATCTTTTCAGTCTCACTATACGTATCACCCTGCTCATTACAAACTAACCAAACTGCCTTTCTGTCTGTCCTTCATACACTACTCCCCCATGCCAATAAAGTTCTTTGTCCTCACAGAATACCTAACTTCCTTCAAGATTCACCTCAAGCACTACCTTTACATGGAACCTTTCCTGATCCTGTCAAATTCAAGTACTCTGCTCATTCCTCAACAGCCTTGTATTTATATGGACTATACTTAATGTTCGTACACACGTTGGCACACAAAAATCACTTGTGAGTGGTTATAACTTGGTATCATATTGCCCTTCTCCTTAATGTATCATCTTTTAGAGAATAAATCCTTTTTTGCATTTTTGTATATCTGAAGCACCTAGAAGAGTACCCTGAACATCACAAATAAATGTTTGTTAAATGACCCAAAGGACTGAGTATAAGTGCATATATATATATGTACCCATGTTCTTTGTCAAGTTAATCAGAACAGACTGAAAAAACAGACTGCTGTAATCTAGCTTTATTTAGTTTCTCTAAAATAATTCCAAAGCCAGTAACATATAAAGGATTTGGCCACTTACCAAGAACTAGAAACTTCAAAAAAAAAAAAATAGTAATTAAATCAATACTAAAAGCAGGTGGTTTACAATTGTTCCTATATTGTTTTACACTTGAATTATTTAATATAAGCATGAACCAACCCTGGTACGGCAGAAAAAATATTTTACATTAAGAGACTTGGCGTCTATTCCTACTTTGCTACTGAACCAGCTAAGTGACCTTCAACAACTTTGTCTTTCTGGGAGCCAGTTTCCCAATGTGCAAAATGGAGGTGTCTAAGAGTTCTTAAAGATAAATTCCAACCACAGAATTCTTTTTTTTTTTTAAAACCCGAATTTACATAACAACAGCTCCCATTCTATATTCAACTACTTACTATAATTAAGACCGACTACCCTAGGAGTAAAAAAAGCTCTTCAAGTCACTCAGCCCTAACTCACCAGTCATCTGGTTTGACAGCATCAGGATCTGGTATCTTGGGCCTCTCATCCCAGTCCTCAGGCTTCTGGTCATTTGGATCCTCAATTTCCCGGGGAGGATTCACAGGAGGAGTCATATCATTTAGCAGGTTTCCACTATTCACAACCGTTTGATCAACTAATATTTCAAAGCTATTATCTGGATTCAAGACTATGAAGAAAAATTACAGGAAAATATTACAGAGCAAGAGGAATTTTACCCAACACTGTTCCACACACTGCCCAAAATACTTATTGCTACTAGTTCCCTAATATAGAAGAGCCTTATCACCCAAGCATTTATTAAACATTTATATTATGTGCAAGACCTGATCAAAAGACCATTCATTCACAAGTGTTTATCCAACATAAGATCTAAAGGGACAAAGGAGGATGGCTTATATTCTACCTCACTCACACCACTGACATGACACAAATTCTTACTCCTCATGACAAGATGAAGGAACTTTTAAGTCAGTATAGCTCTAGAGGGAAAAGGTATCTATGTTGTGACTGCCATTACTCATCTTCTTAATTTTAAATTAAGTAATGAAAAAAAAATCGGTTTCAAAACAATGGGAAAATTATATACTCTACGCATGCATATTTCCATCCCTTAAATAACCCCATTCAATTAAGAATTAAGATGGGGAAGCTAGGTGGAAAAGTGGATAGAGTGCCAGGTTAGAGTCAGGAAGAGTCATCTTCCTTAGTTCAAATCAGACCTCAGATACTTGCTAGCTGTGTGACTCTAGGCAAATCACTTAACCCTGTTTGCCTCAGTTCTTCGTCTGTAAAATGAGATGGAGAAGGAAATGGCAAACCACTCCAGTATCTTTGGAAGAAAACCCCAAATAGGGTTGCAAAAGAGTTGTACATGATCAAAAAAGACGACTGAACAACAACAAAGGAATTAAGACAGGTCATCCAGTGCTCTCTTTGCTAGAAACATTCCTCTGTAAAACATTTGCTCTGGGACAAAATTTTTGCTCTTAAAATATTCAAACTTAAAGCTTATCTGAACTTGCCATTTTGAACTTTCAGTGCTAAAAAATGACAACTGTTCATGACCAAATAGGAGATAGAGAACATTATGAAATGCAAAATGGATGATTTTGATTACATTAAATTGAAAAGTTTTTGCACAAAGGTAATGCAACCAAGATTAGGAAGGAAGTAGAAAACTGGGAAAGAATTTTTACAACCAGTGTCTCTGACAAGGGCCTCATTTCTAAAATATATAGAGAATTAAGTCAAATTTATAAGAATACAAGTCATTCCCCAATTGATAAATGGTCAAAGAATATGATCAGGCAGTTCTCTGATGAAGAAATTAAAGCCATCTTATAGTCATATGAAGAAATGTTCTAACTCACTATTGGAGAAATGCAAATCAAAACAACTCTGAGGTACCACATCACATCTATCAGGTTGGCTAACATGACAAAACAGGACAACGATAAATGTTGGAGAAGATGTGGGAAAATTAGAACGTTAATACATTGCTAGTGGAGTTGTGAATTGATTCAACCATTTTGGAGAGCAATTTGGAACTATGCCCAAAGGGCTATAAAAATGAGCTTACCCTTTTGACCCACCAATACCACTACTAAGTCTGTATCCCAAAAAGATCATAAAAATGGAAAAGGGACCCACATGTACAAAAATATTTATAGCAGCTCTTTTTGTAGTGGCCAAGAATTGAAAATTGAGGGGATGCCCATCAATTGGGGAATGGCTGAACAAGGTGTGGTATATGAATGTAATGGAATGCTACTGTGCTTTAAGAAATGATGAACAGGTGGACTTCAGAAAAACCTGGAAAGATTTGAATGGACTGATGCTGAGTGAAGTGAGTAGAACCAGGAGAATGATGTACATAATAACAGCCATGCTGTGTAATGACTAACTTTGACAGACTTAGCTTTTCTCAGCAATGCAAGAATCTAAGACATCTCCAAAGATGGAAAATGATATCCACATCCAAAGAAACAACTATGGAGTTGGAATGCAGATTGAAGCATATTATTTGCTATTTTTTCCTTCTGTTTTGTTTTGTTTCCTCTTTCTGGTGGTTCTTCCTATTGGTTCTAATTCTTCCTTACAACATGACTAATGTGAAAATATGTTTAATAGGAATGTATATGTAGAGCCTATATCAGATTGCACACCATCTTGGGGAGCGAGGGGGAGAAAAATTTAAATCTCAAAAGTTTATAGAAGTGATTGTTGATAAATCAAAATAAATTAATAAAATTTAAAAAAAAAAGACGTGTTTTATCTCTAAAAAAAGCATCATCAATATAGACTTCTTTTTACTAAATTTAAATTTTCTTGTTTGGCAGTTCCCATCCAAACAAGAGAATTTCTGATACTCCCACCAGACTCAGTCTCATGGCTATTACCTAATGTATACAGATGTGTTTTCTTATCAGTAAAGTAGGTCTTCAGATCTGTGTCCGGTCTCTTAGCATGCTTCTCCTCATAAATGCCTGTCTTTGGGTTTTTATGCCGGAAGATGAAGTGCAGCTTATAGTCCTCCCCACATTTATCTGGACCAAACATAATTGTGTAAGGGGTCTTGTCGTGGAATTGATCCTTTGGAGACAAAAGCAAATTAATTATGAAGGATTATATTAGGATTCAAGTGCCTATCCTAGCCTCCTTCCTCTTAACTTCCCCTAAATTATTTAATTCTTTAAATCTCAATTTCTATTGAGTCAAAGATGTAAACTGAGTACAAGTCAAAAGGGCCAACGGGGGAGTCTTTAAACACATTTCCAAAATCACCTCCAACCCCAAAATGCAAGGTAATCAGAACTGTATGTTGCAAAATGTTATCAAGTCATTCTAACTAGAAAGGAGATACAGAAAAATCCTTAGGTATCTGTATTAGCACAGGGTTACCACATCTTTACTCCTAATTCTTAAAACATTAGTGTCAAAGAGGGCAATTGCTCAAATTTTTTTTGAAATATTTATGAAGTAAAGCATTCTCATGTGTCTTAAAATATTTCCTATCCCTAGAGATTCTGGAGGGGAAAAAACCAACAAAAAGCACTTTTTTATCTAATACAGGAAATGAAAAATACCCACCAGATTCAATTCTGGAGTTCTTGAAAGCAATTTCACATAGGCACCACCACATTCTATTCCATTTTGGAAATTCACCTCATACCTGATTTTAAACAGAAAGTCAGAAGGCTTTATAAGCATTCACTTTTTTTTGATAGGGGGAAGGAGATAACTTTAAAAATGGACTGTTTTGCCTCTCTGACTAATGTTAGCTTTCTAGAAAAACCATCACTCCTTTTGCTGGCAGAAAGTGAATCAAAAACTAATATGCTGCTGGTTATAGGATATGTGTCTGACAGCAATCCAAGCCCCACGCCTGTAGAGGGGAAAAACCTCAAAGTTTACCAGTTTAGCAGTCTCACAGGGACAAATTTAAACACAAAGCAGAAAACCCACTCTAACTTTAGCACTAATAGAACAATTTTGAAGAGGCAATGTGGCATGGAGGATAGAGGGTCAGCTGTGGTGTATATGTCTTGGGGGTTCAAGTCCAGATTTTAGTATCTCTAGTTGCTTAACCACTCAGTGTCCCAGGAAACTAAAATTAAGTCAAGAGACCAGATACTCATCTACACCAGTAGAAGGGATTTCCTACACTAACAGAGTACCACTCTAAAAGTAAAAAGCAATCTTTTACTATTCTGTGTATTAATCTTATTTTTATACTACTCAAGCGCTTATTTTAGTGCTCTACATCAGACAATGAAATGACTGAAAAGCTCACATATTCACTCACTATTGGGGAGAAGAGTAGTCCCATTTATATTTTACAGAAAAGCTCAGAAGAGTAAAATAAGCATTTCTAGAAACAGTATAACTTTCAGATCAAAACTTTAAAAATATCGCCCTCCCCTCCCTGCACCTTCAACATTTTTCAATCAAGCTAGTTTTCACTTACTGAACGATGAGGGGCTTAGTGTCAAATGTAAAGGGCTTGTTCAGCCTCGCAGAGATGGCATGATGTTTGGCTCGTGATAGCAATACAAGCCCTTTATCTCCTGGAAGTTTAGATTCCTTCATTTCTTCCACTTCCCATTTACCTGCATAACAACACATTTATTGCTTGAATTTCAGGGCTCCCTAGACATATGTTATTTATTCTGAATAACAGAATCTAAAGCACAAGGAAATTTTAGAGTTCATCTAACCCAATTAAGTTTAGGAGACAGGAAGAGGGGAGTAGTTTTTAGAGTCGGGATGGGGTGGGTATACAAATGTCTCCTCAGCTACTTGTCTGTGATAAGCCAGTCACATGACCTGGGTCTCAGTTTCCTCACCTGTAAAACAGACAACTGGACCAATCCCTTCCAACTCTAAATCCTCTGAACCTTCTCATTTTACAGATGAGGCTATAATACACTCTATTGGGAGATCATAGATGTTTGACAAATTCTCTATGCTGACATCACATGTTACAAACAAGCTCTGAATTTGCTCTTAAACTAGCAAAGGCTCAAATTACTGCACATGGAAGACAGGAATATAGTAAGGATTAAACTACTGCCTAAGAGATCAACTGCTTTGCCCACACCACTTGCCTTGCAAACGACAGTAAAGCAAAGGCAAGGAGTTATTTTTGTTAAGTCATAAATTTCCAATCTGTTAAGTTAGATGGAATTCTCACCATCATATTTGGCAATCTCATCATCGGTATCATCCTTCTTGGCTTTGGATAAAACCCATCTGTAGTAAAAACAAACCCAAACAAACATTAAGATACAGCTGAAAGTTTATCTTTGAAGATAATTTTTGTTACATATGCCATCAACGCTACTGGTAAAGCAAAGTGCAGAAATTCACATTTCTGCTATTCCCATTCTTAAAAATATTTTCTATCTCAGTGATCTCACTGCTAGAAGTGTATTCTAAGGAGTTTAAAGGTCCCTTATCAACCAAAATAATTCAAAGCAAAAAATTTTCATGGTAGCCAAGATGTAGAAACAAAGTATATTCCCACATATCGAGAAATAGATAAACAAAACATGCAATTCTAAACCTGTTATAGAAACAATAAATATTAAGAATTCAGAAACTCTTGGGGCAGATATGTAACTGATACAAAGTGAAATAAGCAAAACCAAGAGCACAAGTACCATTGACCACAACAATGCAATGGAAAGACTGAACCAACTAAACCTGGCTTCAAAGATCTTAAGAAAATCTATCACCCTTTCTTTAATGAAGAGGTAGAGGGCTAAGCATGTGAAATACTGCATATATTACTATCAGAATCAGTTGATATATTGGTTGGTTTTACTGAATTTTCCCTTCTTTTTATGTTACAAAGATAGTATGTTGGGAAGGGAGGAAATCTATCTTACATATCCACTTACACAGTGTATAAATACTTATATTTTCTCAAACACATAATCCTAAATTTAAAAGGAATAAAGTAATCCTCATATATTCTTATCAGCAGAGTTCACTACTATTTATGTACTACTATAATATAACAAAGACCTAGAATAAACAGTCACTTCAAAATAAATTGAATCTTAATTCCAGGTTATTTTGGAAAATTCTGGATATATTAAAGATCCAAATTCCATATCACACCATTTTAACTTCAATTTATAGAGTATTTGCTTCTTTTAAACATTTCCCCCCAAATCACGCTTACCCGACCAGCATTCCCTTGTCGAAGGCATCAACAAAGTAAACCTCCCCTGTTGGAACTGGGGCTTTGTAGGTAACCTGAATTGAACAATAACAAAATAAAAATCAATACCGATTCTTCAGTAATCTACTTGGGTGGCAAGCAGCACTTTTTTTTGCTTGTTTCTAACCAACTCAAAACTTTTTTTTTTTTTTTTTAAAGAATATTGGTATTTAAAAATAGGTCTCTAGTCTAGTCTCTTAAAATTGGCCAAATTTTCCTTTTGGAAAGACAAAGAGTAAATATCTATTTTTTTAAATCCAAGCTAGATTTCTTGCAGGTTTTTAAAAATAGATTCTCAATACATATTCTTGACTTTGAAATACAAAGATCCCAGTTCATCTTAATGCATTAATTACAGCAGAAGAAAAATGTGTAAAGTTAAAGATGTTCCAACCTTTGGTGATGGAGGTGGAAGAGTAGCGCTATCTCCAGGCTTTGAGTCTTCTACTTCCTCAATGCCATCTTCCAGATCTTCTTCTACATCAATCACATCATCATCGTCATCATCATCTTCATCATCATGTCCATCATGTGCCTGAACCACTGTTCCAAGGAGCAGCAAAACCATAAACAACCACCATTTTGGTTCCATGGTCTGTAGAGGCAAACAGGAGAGCTAAGAACATGACTTTAAACTTCTCTTGCACTTTATTTTCATGCAGAACCTTAGGGATCATCTTGGTCAACCCCTCTATGATACAGGAGAAAGTAGAGGTTCAAGAAAAAAAAATATTTGCCCAAGGCTGCTTTGTGACTACACAAAGCTAGGTAGAAAATGCATTATAAATACATGAAACAACTTTGCATACATACCACACAGATATACATATCTGTGCATACAGAAAATAGGCCACAAAAATTTGGGAATGAAAAGAGTAGCCTTTCATAAGACTTTGATCATAATGTGCAAATCAAATTTAACTCGTAAGTAACTAGTCATTTTCTAATAGATAGTGAAAGCCCCCTCCCTTTCCAATACTATAGTAAATCATTTGGTTTTCCTAACAGGCAAACTTAGTCATACCAGATTCTTGCTGAATTTGCAGTTCACTAAAATCTCCTGGTCTTTTCTGCATCAAGTTTTGGCTAGCTTATACTCTCCTTTAGTGTAGAAGATTTTAAAGAGTCTTTTGGCTTTTTCAAAATCTAAATAAATGATTTCATATTTATTTCTATCAAACTGTCTCTTGGATCTGGCACAATAATGTATTAGTTATCCTTCCTATGTTCCTGTTACTTGAAAAATCTGGATAAACCTAATCCTACCCCATTCTTTTTAAAAATAGTATTTAAAAATTTTTTTGTTACATTTGACTTCTAAGCTGTTTCCCTCCCTTCCCAATACCACACTAGAGAAGGCCAACATTTGACACAGATATATAGGTGAAACTATATAAAGTCCTATATATCAATTCTTTCTCTGAAGATGGATAGCACCTTCCTTCATAGGTCTTTTGTAGTTTTGAACATTCACATAACTCAAAAAAGCTTAGTCATTTACTCTTTGAACAACATTGCTGTTACTGTTTACAATATTGGTTCTGCTAATTTCATTCTTCATTATTTCATGCAAGTCTTTCCATGTTTTCCTAAAATCAACCTTCTCATCATTTCTTTCAGCACAGTAGTATTCTATCACGATCATACACAACTTATTCAGCAATTCCCCAATTGATGGGCATCCCCTTCAATTTTCAGCTCATTGACACCTCACAAAGAGAGCTGCTATGAATATTTAAAAACATATAGGTTCTTTTTCTTTTTCCTTGATCACTTCGAGAAAGAGACTTAATAGTGGTATCGCTGAGTCAAAGGGTATACAGTTTTATAACTCTTTGGATAGAATTCCAGATTACTCTCCAAAATTCAGTTCATAGTTCCACCAACAGAGTATTAGTGTCCCAAATTTTCCACATCCCCTCCAATATTTATGGTATCTCAAAATATCAATGATTCAGAGCATTTTTCACATATGACTATATGTAGCTTTGATTTCTTCCTCCAAAAACTACCTGATTCTATCCTTTGACCACGTATCAATTGAGAAATGATTTATGTTCTTAAAATTTGACAAAGTTCTCTGTATATTTGAGATATGTGGCCTTTATCTGAGAAACCATCTATAAAAAACTTCCCCCCATTTTTTGCTGTTTTTCTAATCTTAGAAGCATTGGTTTTATTTGTACTAAAACCTTTTAATTTAATGTAATCAAAATTATTCATTTTACATCTCACAGTGCTATCTCTTGTTTATTCAAAAATTCTTCTCCTATCCATAAATCTGTTATTGGTCTACTATATCTAGTTTCTGCCAGACTAATCTCCAGTTTTCCCAACAATTTTTTAACCAGTGAATTCTTATCCTGAAAGTTTAAATGTTTTCATTTATCAAACAGAAAGTTACAATCATTTATTACTGTGTATTGTACATCTACTCTATTCCATTGATCCACCTTTCTACTACTTAGCCAGTACCAGATAGTTTTGATAATTACTGTTTTGTAATATAGTTTAAGATCTGGAACTGCTAAACCTCCCTTCTTTACATTTTTTCATTATTTAACCCATTCTTGAAGGCCCAGCTCTAATACCATCACCCTTAAGAAGCCTTTCCTAATCTCCAACCTATGTTCACTCCCTCTTAAACCACCCCTCTACCCCAGAATATTTTGTACAGGTACTACTGCCCCTCTACTAGCTTATAAACTTCTAGGGCAGGAACCGTCTGCTTGCTTCAGAATCCTATGCATGTTCTACTGTATACTACAGGTATTCAAATATTTGCTGAAAGAACTTATTGTCACAGGTAATAAACAACAAGCCAATTTCTTAAAACTGAAGGCTTCAAGGTTTAAAACCTAAGTAAACAGCAAGGAGGCCTTGTCTAGGCCAAACTCCTGCTGGCAATAAAGGGCTTCATTCCATTCACTCCATACTACCCCAAAGCTAAAAAGGGAAAGGTTGTTTGAGGGTATGCCAAAGAGCCAATTATAAATTTTTCCAAGTGCTGAGAAGGTCCCACCCAGAATTAGTTGGTTCCCTTATCTGCTCTGCTAAACCTGGTATCTGTATGACCTTGAGCAAATCAATCCACCTCCCTACCTCAGTTTTCCCCTCTGTAAATGAGGGGGTTGACTAGATGATCTCTAGGGTCCCTTCTAGCTCTGACATTGTATGATTCCCCTTTCTCTGAGAAAAACAAAAAACAAACAAAAAGCCAAAACCATGTGTTCAAAGTACTATACCCAATGTGTATTCAGAAATCAATCACCTGTTCCCTCCCCAGAAAAAAGGCCCAAAATCAGAAACAGAGCTCTCAGAAACCTCAATGCTTACAGGAAAGTGGCTTTCAAGAAACTTCCAGTCCTGCTGCCCATATTGCTTCATAAGCGCCTTCAGCTGCTCATCCTCTTGGCCCCAAATTTAGCAAAAGATTATTTTAATGATTTCCCCTCTGTCTACCAAGTGTGAGGTATTCTCAACCCAGACAAATTGAAATAGTATCTTCAGTAAATTTTTTTCGACAATTAAAAAAAAATCCCATTATATGCAATTTTAAATACACTTGCAAATAACTTACTCTAAGAGGATACAGCTAGACGGCGTTTACTGAATTTCCACTTCCTTTAGGAGTAGATTAAAGATAGATTACAAAAGAGGGACCTAGGAAAGACCTTAACTTTAAAAGGTCCTGGTTTCCCACTGCATCCGGAGCCATCACCAGTTGTCCTGATCTATATCTCGCCACTGGACACAGATGGATCTGGAGGAGAAAAATGAGGCTGGCGACTTTTGACTTTGCACAGCTCTCTCTCACTTAAATACAATTCACTTGCATGTTATGGCATCACCTCGATGATGTCATGGTCCTCTTTGAGAACGAAGGACAAACAACAACAAGAATTAAGAACTGCTCATTTTTTTTTAAATTATTGCCTTTTGTTTTTCTTTACACAAGTCATCCAAGAGATTAATTCTTAATTTCCATTGGACAGCTAATTAAAAATGTTTGGGGGAGATACAATAAAGTTTCAGTACGACAAAACATTTCTGTCTGTTGGAGTTTCTTATATTGCAAATCTCCTTAGGTATACCAATCTAGTTCCCACTATACTACTTGAATTGTTTTAAAAGACAAACATCTGAGTTAAAGTAAACAGATTTCTCAGCTCTGTAAGGTATAGTTCAAATCACTAGCCTCACAGCCAATGTCTTGTTAAAAGTACCATTTACAGAAAATCCATTTCCAGGGGCAGCTAGGTGGCGCAGCAGATAGAGCATCAGCCCTGAAGTCAGGAGGACCTGAGTTCAAATGCAGCCTCAGACCAAACACTTGACACTTACTAGCTGTGTGACCTTGGGCAAGTCACTTAACCTCAACTGCCTTAAAAAAAAAAAAGAAAGAAAACCCATTCCCATATTAGCTTTCAAAGAATTTAATGAAAAAGCTTGTATTTTGATGTAGCTATAAATGACTGTCGGGGCAACTGGTGGCAAAGTGGATAAGGAACAGGCCCTGGGGTCAGGAGGACCTAAGTTCAAATGAGACCTCAGACATTTGATACTTACTAGCTGTGTGACCCTGAGCAAGTCACTTAACCTCTGCCGCCTCACCAAAAAAAAAAAAAAAAAAAAAAAAAAAGGTCAAACTTCTTAATCTCAGGAGAACATAGTTGTTTTTCTTTCAGGATATATTTCATCTTCTCTAGAAAAAGTAGACCAACTTGTCTATAACAGCAGAAACATGCACTTGCCAGGCACAACACCCTAGATGAGTCTACAATTTGAGTGTGGTCTTGACCAATCAATTTGGAAGCATGAGAAGCATGAGTGTGTGCCCATTCCTTTCTAGTCCCACTGACCAGAAGACATTAAAAAATGAGGCTTAGATTCAAATCGTCAAAGGCAATAGAGTTCTCTGGGCATCATTTCTCATGTTCATCTAGATTTAAAGACTAATCCACTGGTGCTGTGGAACAAGCTCTGGACTTTGGCTTAAAATGCCAAGAATATTAAAAAGCACTCAAATCAATTAACCTTGGTCAAAATATGTCACTTAATTTTGGTTTCCATGGCTAAGCACATTTTTCTAAAACCAGTTTTCCAGATAGCCCTCAATTGTAATGGCTAAAGGTACAAATGCAACAAAAGAGAATATAAAAGGTGAAAAATATTAAACCAGCACAGAACAGTCTCCAGTTTACAAACCCAAGTTTTAGCCCAACTGGTTTACCTGTACTACTTTAGGTTCACCACTCTATGGTGACCCTGGATTCTTGAAAGGTAGGCCAACATAGCGTAAGCTCTGGCAGGTACTATAACAAGTTGGGAGGGTTGAGTACTGACCTTATTACAAGGTAGGCTGAAATATAATAAATTTTCTGGCATGGCAAATCTTTTAAAAGACCATAAACAAATTCTCAAGGAAGCTGCAATCACATGTAGAAGACACAATCCTATTGATCTTTTATCTAGAAGAGAAGCTAAGGTAATTCTTTCTTGAGCACAAAGTCTTGATTCACATACAACAATGTCCAAAATGCACAAACTCCCTGTTTCATGTAATAAATAGGTCAAGATGTTTGTGTAAATCTT